TTTGGGGGGGGGGGGTTGGAGGGTTATAAGGGCCTACTCACGTGATCACCAGCCTCTAAAGCACAATTTCATGAGATAGCGACTGAAATCTCTAAGGCCTCCATCAATGAAAATGAGGTGACAAGAGTAGTTTTGCTTTAGTTGGTCTTTTGCATTACCTATGAACTGCTTGTTAAATTAACGCAGTCGGTCTTTTAATTTCAATTTTTCTCTTCTTCTAAATGTGGAGAAATAAGAATGCTTTTAATTAATTTGACATAACAGAGTAGAGTAGGCACTCGATATCTTAATAGGGTAAATGAATGCTGATGTTCATTCTTGCGTGTACAGAAGCGAGCCTGGATTGGAGCACAACTGAACAGTCTTTCTTCTGGCAATTGGTAGGAGCGCACGAATTGCCCACCAAGCACTTCCTTCCTCTCATCTCTCACGTGGACGGGGTGAAACATGCCGAAGCCTGCTCACAACTGCTGCTAATTCTTCAACTTGAAAAGTTAGTGACGATCTATTTTCTTTTATTATTGGATATAATGCATGGTTGGAGTTTAAAAATCGGCTAATTTCAATAGCATTTCTGAAGTGTACTTAACAGGCAATTTACACTTCGATCATCGATTTGTATCACTCCGTGAATCTATTATTGAGTAGTGTCTGTAGCTCCAGTTTTGGTAGAAATAAATCATGACCTAGGTTTCGCAAAGTCACACCGTGCAATCTCATTTTAACATGCGTGTGTGCAAATCAAACTTTTTAATCACATGTGGATCGGTCAGTGTGAGATTGTGCATGATGGAGTTTCTGTATGGCAATAATTCCCATGGGGTGATCCTTTTTTTAAGGCGATAGAACGATGCACCTAGTTAGTCGCGATAGCTTGCGTATTACAAGGTTCTTACTTGTGTTAGCAGGCTTGGCGCATGAAATGCAAATGTATGCAGTTCGTTCAGGTCATCACGTCAACTAATTAAAGTTCTACTTAACTGATTTAAGTGCATCAGGCAATTTTTTTACTTTTATTTAAATGAATACCAATCTTATTTGCAAATGTAAAGGACGAGCTATGATAAGAATCCGAGTGTTTACATTTAATACTTCGATATAAATCAGGACTTAGAGGGTTTATTGTAGTCATCATCCTCAGTGAAGCATCCGATAATCTTAATTCACTCCATTCTAGTTTTGTAAAGTAAAATGTTTTTTTTCAAATGGCAGACTTTATGATATTTATCATTAGCCCTTAAACTTTGACTTCAGCTTTCCCCTTGGGTAGGGTGTACATATATAGCAGTTAACTAATAGCAGTTCATTACACCTTGGGTAGGGTGTACATATATAGCAGTTAATGGCAGTTCATTAGCTGTCTTCTTGCTTCCCAGTATCTCTGTGTTTCCGTCGTTGTCTCTAGGGCTGGACACCGAATCAGGTGGGTCTTTATAGCAGTTAATTATAGAAATTCATTAGCTGTCTTCTTCGTTCATGAAGGGGGGTACATTTATAGCAGTTAATTAATAGCAGTTCATTTAGCTGTCTTCTTGCTTCCCAGTATCTCTGGCTTAATTACATTTATAGCAGTTCATTAATAGCAATTCATTAGCTGTCTTCTTGCTTCTTACATTTATAGCGGTTAATTAATAGCAGTTCATTAGCAGTCTTCTTGCTTCCCCGTACTCTGCTTTCAGCTCATTAGCTGTCTTCTTGCTTCCCAGTATCTCTGGCTTTCTTGCTTGTCTTTAGAGCTGGACACCGAATCAGGTGGGTCTTCCTTGTCTTTAGGGCTGGACACCGAATCAGGTGGGTCTTCCTGTCTTTAGGGCTGGACACCGAATCAGGTGGGTCTTCTCCCTCTTCTTGCTTCCCAGTATCTCTGTGTTTCCGTCGTTGTCTCTAGGGCTGGACACCGAATCAGGTGGGTCTTCTCCGTTTCCTACCGTAAGTTACATAGGGGGCATGTGGGTTGAGTGTGTGCTCCCAATCTGTGAAGGTGTTTTGCCAAGCAATCGTGTCCGGTACGTAGTCTAAACTCAACAACGGCTTCGATTCTTGGCTAGTCGGCTATGTCGGAGAGTGTCACTGTCCACTGTTTCTCCTTTGTTCGAGTTTTAAGTTCGTTACACCTTGAGGTCTTGACTTCTCCCCTGATTAAGGTCTTCATTGTGTGGAAAGACATCGGCCTGTCTATGCCTTGCAAAATTGTTGTCCACTTCTTAGCAAGTGCGCCAGCAAGCTCATTGCCTTTAATGTCACAGTGGCCAGGAATCCATTGTAAAGTAAAATGTAAGGAGGTCAAGTTTCTACCGCAATATTTTTCTTTCAACACCACTTGGCTACAGTTACTAGGACATTAGACAATTAAGCCACAGCGTTTTCTTAACTGAAATATTTCGTATTAAAATACAAGTTGTCTTCATTTTGGTGGATACTTGGGGTCAAGGTACCGCCTTATTGATGACAGTATTAGGTCCAAGTATCTGGAGCGGTGTGCGAATATGCAGGTATGGATGCATTGTTGATGGGCTATTTAGGGAAAATAAACGAGAATTGATTATCATGTGATTAAGCGCAAACACCTCAGGTATATCAGCTTTGTTTCCTTCATATATTCTCTGACATAAACCGTTTGTAACCTGAAAGGGGGAATTAAAAGTATTTTAATAGTCTATGCAATGCTTTAGCTGAAGAAATTGTATTGTTTGTCTATTAAAAGGCTTAGTATAGTTAAGTTAACTTACACACCTTTAATAAATTGGCCATGTCTAGCTGACAGACTTAAAGGTAAAACTTCTTAGTTGATGATGCAATGGAGCATAGGGATTTCTGAATTTTCATGTGATAATTGTGCAAAATTCGCCAAAGCTGTTGGTACTAATGCAATTTTCCGAAAGCATGTTCCAATCAGAGCTTTTACTCGGAGAATTTGTGAATAATCCTCAAGTTAATCTTTCAAATAGTTTATTATTTTTGATCCGATTTCTTTTTTTCTTTTCAAAATCAGTGATAACTGATCTACCTTTCCTTTTGTCTCGGATCATAAATTGCTCTTGGTATTTGTATTTCAAAAATAAGTTCTTATTTGTATTCAACCCATTAGCTTTGGAGACTATTTTTACAACTTTAGGCTTTACACTAGAAAGGAAGTAAATATGTAAGAGTGCGTACCAACTCCTTTCTCTCCACAGTTTAAAATACGATCCATTTTATTGTTTCTTTTTTCTTCAGACCAACTGCAGAAATTATGCGCCTTCTGCTGACTCGCGCCGCTTCCAGTCTCAATTCTGAAAGCGTCGATGATGCCAATTCCGATGACCTTCTCTCTGTTACCTCGCTTCACTATTGGGGTCGTCCAGGTGGTGTCTATGCTCAACGCTTTGCTGAAATTCTTGGTTCTATGATTACTTCCGCTGTGAGCGGTCTACGTCCTTGTGGTGACGCAGAGGATGGCATTGGAAGCACAAACAGTGGTCGGAAACGAACTTCAACAAAGTACGTTTAATTTAAAAGTCTTTTCACTTGCCTAGCCTTGGTGATTGCCATGCTTTTTAAGTACAGCGCTTCTCATTTCTATGCATAGAGAGAGAGAGGTGTTTGAGATACCTCTATTTGTTTTTTTGTAATTATTCAGATCGATCTAAATATTTTTGGTATGATTATTAAATCCGTAACTTCTGGCCTAAAAGAAACTTCTACTATATTACCGTCGTACCGTTTAGACCATACTAAAAGACTTGTCAGTGCTACATTTTGTTCGCTTTAAGGTGTAAGGGTTGTTAGTTATGGCGTTCTTGATTGTTGCTAACTATAGAGGTTTGATTTGGAAATATGTATTGGCTGACTCACATCTTTGATAAGTACCAACATTCAACTTTTTCGCCTACTTATCTTATTTACATAGCAGCCAATTTGATTCTGATTACTCTCAGTTCACTATGGCTTAGAAAATTTTGAAGCAAATTATTAATGTATCTTATACTCATTTTTAGTTTACTTCATTCAAATTACACGAACCAATTAACTCTTATTTACTCTTAATTCACTAAGGTTTAGGAGTGGCCTATTAATCGTATCTATCAAAGATTTGAAGCAAATGATTAAGATATCTTGTATACCTTTTCTGTTTGCCTCATTCAGTTCCTATAGCTATAGAACATTTCTTGACTAGCACCTCCCTTGCAGCGGGTTGTTTTCAAATGAAATTCGCATCACAATTCTTCAGGCCAGTAATAACTGAGCTAATTGCCTTTTCGTCTGGTCTGATTTTGGCCCCCACCCCTCCCTCATCTTTTTTTAAAGAACATCTTGTCTCTTGTTTACTATTAGTAGGTTGGTGTCAACTAACCAAATCTTGGCGTTTGGGGCTCTGTGCTCCACGAAAGCTGAGTACCAAGATCTTTTCGTCAACTACTATCATAAACCCTTAGTATTATTTATGAATTTAAGGCTGTATGGAAAGCATGAGATTTTATTTATTGCTTTATAGAAGCTCTGGAAATAGTACCGATCGTCTCTCTCTCCTGATCTCAATACTTACTCACCTCGAATGTATGCGAAGAAACTGCAAGAACATTGCAAGTGAGTTCTGCCCCCCCCCTCCCCCTCCCCCACCCTCATTATTTTTCTTTATTTTAGTGGCTGATGTTTTTGCTTTTTCGCTTCCCTTTGCATATGGATCGATTTTATTTCGTCTCCATATAAGGGGCTAAAAATAGTTTTTCTAATCTCCTCTTTACTTACAGAAACTAAGAAGAATGAGACTTCTTCTTGCACTGGTAGGTTGTTGCCATTGCAATGGCCCCCCCCCCTCTTTTGACCTCGGTGGGCGCGCGTTTGATTAACACAACGCCTCTTTTCTTACCTCCCCTTATTTTCCCCTCCGTTTTTGGTTTACTCTATGCTCCATATGATTGGTGTGTGCAGTGTGCATTATGATGCACAATAGGGCTATTAATAAGAGGGCGCATTAATCCCTCCCCCCCCCTTTGTGTTATTTTGAATAATTCTTCATTCTGCTCGTTTTAACGCTTTTTGGTATCTCCATTCTCTCAGTACGATGACCGAAGGATTTTGTTTATTTTTTTATCTTCCTGTAGTGTTACAGTCAGCAGAACTACAGAGTTCACTACAACAGGTGATTTCCTCCTCCAATGTGCCCTCAAATTTGAAGGATCGCTTTGCAGAGCTGCTGAGTTTGGTTGAGAGAGAGGATATCACGCTTGCTTCATCGAGATCTAGTGCTTCTGGGAGGGGGAGTCGTCAGGAGGCGAGTGGAGAGCCTACTGGATCGTCCAAAGGCGGACACAGTTTGCGCAACTTGGATTCGAGACGTGCTGCTGAGGTAAATGTGTCTTTCTGTATCGATGTTTTCTCCAATTGTCATACGCGCATTGCCAGGAAAAGACATTACTAATTTTAACAAGTGGGGGAGTACGCATTATCTTCAACTAACTCCTAGTTTTTAGCAGAGAGAGGGAGAGTGGTCTCTATGTGTATTGCAATTAGCTAGTCGAGTTAGGCGTCTGTAGTTTGTCGTCTACCCAGATCAAACTGACTATGTGAGTTCGCAGCGTTATATGTTCAGGTTACTTGATCTTTGGTCTTGAGAATACTGCCAAGCCTCGAATGTTAAGGTTGGACCGATTCACAGTAACGAATTTGTACAATTATTTAGGAAGTACAAATGTGAAGTTTATTTGGTCTTTCTTATTTCTACCGATTTTCACTTCAAGAGAGGAGACGTTTGAGACGAGTAGGCCTTCTAGCAAAAATTTTTGAAAAGAGGGTTTATATTAAATGGAGTGATGGGGTTTGTTTGTCCTGGTGGTTGCATGGGTGAAGCGGAGCATAAATTTTCGGGGGTGCTGTGTACGAGGATGGTCGAGTATTATGTTGATAATAAAATTTTGATGGTTCTTATGGCGATAAGTTTAAACAGATTTAATTCAATGCTCACACAAGAAGCTGAATCACTTGAGCTTGCTGACTGTCATATGGTTTAATATAGAGGTTAAAATTCAATTTTTAAGCTCTAGAGTGGTGGGTGCAAAGCAAATACCATGTGCACATAGTGTTGACCAATGTCTTAAGACAAAGTTCCCGCCAAAATCTTACTCGGCTGACGTAAATTTGGTTTCCTTCATTGGCATAGAAGAATAGATGGCAATATCTGTCAATACCATTCTTTATGATTCTCATTGGGTTTTAACATTGGTTTCATTAACGATTAATCTATCTTAAAATCGTCGTCTTCTTATGTAGGCTGAGCGTAAAAGACAAAACACAACAGCTAATATTGGTGTCGCATCTACAAGCAGCAAAAAGAAGCAATCTCGTAAAAAGGCTGACGAAGACGGAGATGCCGAAGGCGAAGACAGTTCAGATAATGCCAATTCTAAAGCTGCCACCAATTCAACCAACAACGCTAACTCGGATAGCGACGATGATGAAAGCGAAGGTCCCCTAGCGATCGATGATTCCCTTGACGCTGCCTCAGCATCCTCTGCAGCTTCCGAATCCCAGGCTCCTGCTTCTACTGGAAGGACTGCTGACTCCAGTGTTTTAGAAATTACAATCTCAAGTTCTGATTCCGATGATGAGGATGAAGATAAGCCGGTGGAATCGCGTCCGAAAAAGACTACAACAGGGAAAAGACGTGCTCCCCCTGCATCAAAGAAACAGCAGCCCCCGGCGAAGAAGGTTACACCTAAGCAGGGAGGTCGAAAGGTTGTGAACCTTGATGATGACGAGGATTCAGAGAATTCAGACAACAACTATAATAATAATGACAAGGATGGAAGTGATTCTGGTGATGATACTCCTCGTGGACCAACGTCTAAGAGGAGAAAAATGGTCTCTAGGAGATTGTTGGATGATTAACCGAAATGAAGGTGAGGTGTTTTGTATTCCATTCTGTACAGGAGCTGTCTTGCGTTTTGTGTGTACAGCTCAGACCCCCTTTTGTTATTGTAAGTGTTCCCCCCCCCCCAGCTTTATCATTCTGTTCCCCTCGTGTTACTAGCTCATTAAAATTATTATATCAACAGGGATTTTTGTTGTCTTATGTGGAGTCATCGGTCTCGAATTCACTTCATTTCGGGGCGAATTTTGTGGTGCAAGAGTAATAACATAAGCAACATTGGTAGACACTGAGCCTGTTTCCAGTCTTCATTTAACATAAACACAAAAACTTTGGATTGGTGAACGGGTCTACGTAAAAGCAAGCGTTGTAAGCACCAATTATCAGGGTTTACTTAAGCAAGAAGAGGTCAGTCAAATTATAATTTGTATGTCATGAAGTATTGAAGCAAAGAAATCGTGAATTGTGTTACACATGCCTTAACTAAGTTGTCTTTCGTTGAATAATATAATCACGTTCTCAAAATTTAAAATAAGCATCGTCTTTGTTAGCCAATGTCTGCAGGTGATCAAACTATCCGCAAACCGTTATGCCTAATGTCCGTGTACTTAGAATGGCAAATAAAGCTAGACTGAAATAATAGTAGGTTAGCTTACAATATATTTGATAATCATTGCCAATCTCATAGATACCACTGTCGAGGATCGAATACTGTAGAAGCACGAAGTTAAGTTTACTATAATTTGTTAACCTACGCATTAATGAAGTTGCTCAAAATCCGAATGAAATACTATACATAAGTGAGGAGGATATTTTGTTGCAAGTAGAGAACTAAAATGTTTAGAGACAGAGGTGAAACTTATTAAAGCAAAGAGATTATTGCCTTCTCGAGAGTGTCTGAAAATTTTTATCCGAAATATTTGCAATACAACGTTGATTAACACAAAATAAACCAAGTAAAACTAATAAGTGGTATGCAAAATATAAATAAAAAATTTGCCAAGTAGACTTTCGTTCGCATTTCGAAAACAAAATATCTGAATTAACGATGAAGGATAATCAGTTATTTCTGAAACAAGGCACAGAAGGTGATTGTCAAACGTATATACATTGTATAAAAAAAAGAAAACTGGAGTTGTAAAATAATGCCAACTTAAATTCCTTCCAGTAAATAGATAATGTTATTTACACAACTGAATTATTCTTGAGTAGAGAGGAATACTTTGCAAATATAACTAATGTCTTAATTTTGTTTAATAAATTTTAAGTATAGATCTTTAAATTTATTGTTATCTCGAAGATCTAAGTTAATTAGTTTTAATTAACTACAAAACGACACCCTTTCTCCTAAATTTGGCGAACGAGTTGGATTGGACCATATAGTATCTTCGTTTTGTTCTCAGTTTTTCCTGTCATTTTGCTTAATTTATGGTTACTTCGTTGCGGATTTTGTTTAGCTTTCTGAAGTGATTTGAATTCTTTGCTTATTCATTTTTATCTGTCCGTCATTTGTATAAAGAACCTGCCGAAGCACATTTTATCCATGTTACACCCACATACCGGATTTTCCAGCCAAACTCCTAATCCTAACACCCGTGAAATCGGTGGTAGAATTATTCATAGACCTATTCCTGTCGGTGCTTTCCAATCAAGACCACCTGGTGGTGTCCCCAGATCCTACAATATGGCTCCAAAGGTTCAAGGGCAAGTTGACACAACGCCAATTAGTCATTGGTTCCATGGAAATATTAGTCGAGAGGACACAGAATGTTTATTAAAACACAGTGGTGTCAATGGAACCTTCCTTATCCGGTTCAGTACTTCCACTCAAAAATATGTTTTAAGTGTCATTTATAATCAACAACTATATCATTATCCGATTGAAGAACTGCTCGATGGGTTTTATCAGGTTTGTAGTTTTTTTCAAAGCTTTTAACATTAGGAAGCACTTTTCTTTTTTCGTAACCATTGAATTTTGAACTCCTCTCTCTAGGTAAATGGAACTAATGCTAAGTACTTGGGCATCGATCTCCTTGTATCGGAATTCCGCAGAGCCAATAATTGTATAGTTTGCTCACTTGGTAAACCTATTCTTGGTTCAAAACCTCCTCCCCATATTACAGTTTACGGTTCTACCAACGAACTACATCATGCTGTGAGGAAAGGGAATCTAAAAGTGAGTATCCTTTTATGCATTTTTTCCTTTTTTTGTTAGCGTTTTTTGCTCTTTCTGGTTCCTAACTGCTTCCACTCAATCTGACATGGCATTTGCTATTGTTTCCATTTCCGAATCAACTGTATTTAGTTCTTAGTCTTTTGTATTGTCTTCTTTGCCTAAGTTGACGGTGAACAATTTTAACTCAATGTTATATATTATCCTATTTCTAAATTGTAATAGGTCTATTTTCACGGGTAATTGCTTAAAATTTGCCGTATATCTAATGTACCTCAAACCTTATTTGATCGTACCATCCAGTTTCGTTCCTGATTTTGTATATCGTGGTAATTGGTTTACTAGACTTACGGTCATAAATATATTCAATGCCAAATTTTTGTCTGTCACTTATTGGCTATTATTTAACCATCCAGTACCTAATAGGCGCTAGTCTTTCGATACACATTGTTTAATTCCACAAAATGCTTTGGACTTCATTGAGAAGCGTATTTTACTTGCATCCAATGCCACATTTTGTCTACCGCAATTGAAAACTATCAGTTTCGGGATCTTAATGTTTATTAAAATGGATTTTAAGTATTTCATTTTCTGTTATCCATAGTTTGCCAAATTAATGGTCAAGAAAGACATTTAGTTCTGTAAGATTTGGTATTACGCCCGATATCTAAGTAGTAATGAATTGATTTTAGTACTTTATAACTTTAGAATGTAACTTTTTATTCTTGGTCTAGGCTCAAATCTTCACACTATTTCTAGTGTTTGATAGCCGCCATACCTTAAATCTACAGTGTTGGGGACGCTGTTTTATTAGTGAATAGTGTAGGGTTGTGCAATTTGAATAGTTTATCACGTATGGAATTAAATTTGTTCGGGTCGAAAATTCAGTCAGTATTTATAGACGTTCTTGGATCTGGTGTTTAATAGATTAGAACGTACTTCAGTTGCCTCAGGCACATTAGAAAACATTTAAATTGTGTATGATTTTTGATATGCTTAGACGTGATGTCTTTTTGCTATAGTTAACACACTTGGTAACTGCCTTATTATTTACCTATTAGGGTGTTCGTGATCTGCTTAACCGCGTGGCTTCAACAAACGTAACAATCAATGAGTATGTCAATGAAAAATCTGCGGACAGTGGGGCTACACCACTCATTGAGGCTGCAAAGACTGGGTCTAATGATATTGTTCGTGTAAGTAATAGTCTTGGTGATTTTTTGTACCCTTAACTAATCAACTAAAAATTTTAGGGAAACTTTAATCCCTTGTTAATCCTTTACTTTCTTATATGCTATTTTCATCTCATTTTCTAAATTGGAATTGCATTTGGGTTATGCTTGTCTGCGCACTGGGATCGAATTGGCACATGTTTTCCCATTTATATTTTAATGGTTTTAAAATTACATCTAATCTTTATTGAAAGGGATTGCCCTTTTCAAAGTTCTCCTGAAAACAACCTCAGATCGACTGTTTTAAAAATTAAGGATAAACATGTCTTTCATTTTTGAATCTCTCTTAAAACAGTCACGTCATAGGGAACTTTTCTGTGTTCAATGAATTCGATTTGGTTCCTGTTCAATATTTCGCATTGTTAACATAAGGAGGCAAGGCTGTCATAATAAATAATTACTTAGTCTATTTTTTTAATATTAAGACCAGATTCATAGGCTAAATCTTTGTTTTATCAAAAGAACCATAACACTTGTTGACTGGTCGTAAGTCTTAAATTATGATATCTAATTGGGATTTTGCTGTATTTGCCCCCATTTGATTGCAAATTTGCGTCTATTTGCTATTATTACCGTAGGGCTAAACGATTAATTACCTAATACCCTGTTGTTGTAAGTTCTTCTGCATTCTTTTTATTTCAACCCTCCCCTAATTTAGCCTTCTTTGTCCGTCTTGTAGATTGAAGCATGAAATCGAGGTATGTTTGCTTTGTTTTCAAAACAGATTCACGTCTCGCTCTGATGTTTCTCAAGTGCTTGTTCCTTTATTTGTGTTTTTATCTATTGTTTTTCCTAATCGTTGCGGTCAATTATTTTACTTTATTGGTCGCTAAAATTGTCTAAATAAATAATGCAACAGAATTGGTGTCAAATAATCTGTTTCGATTCTTGAATAACAGTAAAGAGAATAAATATTTGTCGAACGAAAGAAGATTAAAGTTTATTTGGTCGTACCGAACACACATTTTCATTATTAATTATGCTATTGTCTCTGTTAACTACTTTTAGCCACACTTAAGTTGTGAATATGTAGCCTTGCTATTCGTCGATTTGATAATCGTCCATACCGACTAAACATCAGTTAACAAAGTTGCTTACCTCTAGGCTGCTCAATTTCTCCACCAGAATATGTAAATACTGTTGGAGTAATTGTTTCAGTGGGTTTGCATGAGTAAATGTTGTCATGTGATTTTATTATTGGAATCACCTGCTTTTTCCCGTACTAATTATAGTTTATTGACGCTCGTAATCGCTGTCTCAAGTTAGTTGTCTTGACCAATAACTTTCCTCATCGCGTGTTTATTTGTAGCATAAATTAAACGTTTTTGTGATAAATTAGTTAGCCGACTTCACTTTTCTGTGTATATTACACCACTAAGGATCGAAATAAGATCAATTTGTGTCGTATGTTGGGTAGGCTAAACTAGATTTCATAATTTATATTTCCGATGTATAATTTTATTCGAAAGATCTCGAAATTAGTTGAACAAGTTTCCAAAATCATTAAAGCACTAATTATTTTTTTACTTTTCCTTCAAGATGTTTTCTTGTCGAGGCAATAACGGTGATTTTCTAGTTGATCATTGCTCCATTACAACCAGTAGGAACGATAGTTTTGTCTATTGATTGTGTATTATAGATAAATCGATATTATATTTCCGCCTTTTAATCTGATACTAACAGCCTCCTAATGCTTGTTTTTGACTTTCTAACGGCGTAGCACTCACTAGACCTCGTTTTTTAATTACTGGGGTTATCGATGTTTTTACTCTAACATTGGTCTTACACTTTATCGTCCAACCTAGTTCTATACTTAAAACTCTTCTCTGCACATTATAGTTGTTGCTAGACCACGGAGCACAAGTGAACCTTCGTGATTGTGGTGGCTTTACAGCCCTCCACCGTGCCTGCCAAAAGTCCTTTGCTCATGTGGCAGAGACACTTCTGCGGATGGGCCGAGCCAATCCTCAAATCAAATGTCCCTTCTCGGGCAACACGGCGCTGCACGAAGCAGCAATGCTTGGACATGCAGACTGTGTAAACTGTCTCTTAGAATTCCACGCAGCACCTTGGGCCCGTAATGCTGAGTTGGAGATGCCTTTTGAACTAGCCCTCCGATTTGGATTCGCAGAATTGGCCAATGCGCTAGCTGGGTACCAACCTGCTTCGCCCCTTACTTCACAGGTAATATATAGTTAGTACTTTTATTACTATCCACAGTAATTCAAAAGATTTTACAACTTTTCACTGTGGTAATCAACTGACATCGTATAACAGACTGCCAGTGATAGCATGAAATGGTTAAGTTGATATGGACAGCAATGGTCAAGATGCCAATCATTCAACCTTTTTGGTTCGGGTTGTACAATATTTACTAGGAGTGCAAATCATGTTCAAAAGCTCGAATTTCACGAATCCTCTTTCGAATTGCAGCAAATCCTTATCAACGTTGTTCAGCGCTCTTTGACCGGTCGGTCTCGGTACTCTATTTGTTTTTTTATTCGATTGGTTGAAAATGAAAATGGTCTTATATGTAGTCCATCAGCTTACTGTTTCAATATAGGTATGTAGTGGTAGTAAAAATAAGCAACAAACTTTTATCTGTTAAGAACTCATTTAAATTTGACGCTAAGCTCTCGTCTTTTTCATTTTTGCAAAAATACCCCTCGTTTTTTCCTTCTACTTTCCAGGCTATAAAATTACTTGGCACCATTGCAAGTAAGAAATAAAATATCAGCAAAAATTGCAGAAGCTTTTAAGTGAGCGAACCATTTCATGCCACGTTGATGCTGCTAATTTGTTGTGAAGCCGTTTAGAAATGCACTCTCGGCCTTCAAGAGCAATCGAATGGTTTATTTATTTATTTCGAATTTCAGGCATTTTGATAGTTATCATTAGCCCTTAGCTGACTTCGAACTTCACAGAGGGAAGAAACATCAAAGTTCAAGAGGGTGGGCCGAAGAGTGATTTACAGATGCAAAAGAGACAGACACAATGATAGAGAGTAGGGTAAGGTGAATACTGTAGAAGTGATCGACTATGACATACAGTGGGGTCATGGTAGTTTGAAGTCAGAAGTCAACTGGCGAATAATAGACTTTTTTGCTGTATGAGTATACGTTGCCCAGGGTGCACCACATGGAGGTAAGTCTATCGCACTCACCGCAATCGAATGGTAGAAACAGAGAAGCATATACCTGATCGAATCTCTGAGCTCAAATCACCCCCTTCTACCATGTTGATAAAATTTATAAAGGAGTTTCATTTCTCTCCTACTCACCTCTATTAAGGCCACTTGATGGATTTGGATAACTGGTCTTCTTTGGTATCTTTACAATTCCCTTCATCCTTTTCAATTTATTACTTGTTTATTCTTCTGCTTTCGTGCTACTTCGAGAGTTACTTTTCATTCTACTTTCATAAGTGTTTATTTCAATTTCGGATGGAATTAAATTATTCAAATATGTTGGGGTGATGGTGTTGATTCGCTTTAATCAGCATTTTTGTAGACCATCCATTTATTGCAATTGGTTTGTCTTTTTTATTTCGGCAGAATGGGATGTTTCCTCTTCTGCTCATTGCTCGTTTTGGAAGATGCTTTTCTTGTACAGTCTAGCAAATTCTTTATACCACAACGTGAATACATTAGATACTAGCTTGGGGAAGGGAGTCATTGCAATGAATCCTTGTGCTGCGGTTGATTGTATTTCTCAGTCATTTTTGGAAAAGTAAGCTACCTGATGGCTTTGAGAATTTAGTTACACTTATCTTTAATTTTGCAATAATGGTCATGAGTACATGTTTTAAGAATTTTATCACTTTGATTTATCCTTCCGTATTTATAACCTAGCAACTTCCTAGGTTTACATTCGCTTTTTTCCCCATTTCGAAATCATCCGGGATCATGCTATCTGGAAAGTCATCATTTTTTTTTCAGCTAAAATTTATGATTTTTCGGCAGAATTTGGCAGCCTCCTGCCTTTCCTCCCCCTTCACTCGCTAATATAAGTGCAGCTTGTTGACGCAGATATTTTACCCCCTTTTGCTTATAGAACAGAGGACAAAGTAATTGAACCTTATGCTTTAAGTTCTTTAAAATCATATATTCCGGGTGAAACTATGGTTTACCTTGATTTCTACAAGTTTTATTTTCTCACTTGATTTACCCTCATTGCAACCGTAACGAATCATTTTTTCCTCAATGTTTACTTTAATCCGTGGTCGCAAAACAGGCTAGTTCAAACATATGCGAACGTGAATTTGACCTCATGTATTTTCATTGACCTTGATAACTCAGCTACCCTACATTCCTCTTTTAAAGTATCCTACTATTATCGCATATTTACAATATATAAGTACTCAGTGAAGCACAAATAAATAATTGGCTTTTTACGCCTTTATTTTTCTTAAAATAATCTGTTAGAGTAAATGGGTCATTTGCATTTGATTTTGCATTTCTTACATGCGCATATTTCTATCACTCTTCCTGATTAGCTGCTCAAAATATTCACAAACCTCATGATTCAATAGAATTACGTAGGTGCAATTAAGGTAGGATTTTCTCTGAAATTATGTACAGTAACGATCCTTTTATTTGGCACATTTAAATGAATTTATAAATGATTAATACTAATTTTTTTACCCAACACTTATTTCCGCGTTGATTAATGAGTGACAAATCCGTTTGATAGTGGTTCAATTTTTGAGGCAAATCCTAATTCGTGCTGGTTTACCGCTGCAAGAATGGAAGCTGTATCTGATTTTAATTGTGTAAAGTCTCTGTTTTCCACAATTTACGCATCCTTTGGGAGTGTTCTATTGAAGTGCGCGGAAGTTACAATATCTTCCCGAGAAAATCTGGATCAATTACTTTTCAAGCCAAGGTGCTGTTGGAGATATAATTTCCTTCAATGGAGTATAGTGACTTGATGACTAGAAAATCTCTATAAATTGCTAATGGGACTTATTTTGGAAGCTTATTCCATTATGTGATACGGATTTGATTAAACAGGCGAAGGGGTCTATATCTCGTTTATTAGCTTCTTTAGCTTTCCAGGTTTCACATTTAACCGTTTTGTTCAAAATTCGGTGAAGGCCTCTTATGATATTATTTCTCAGCATATATTGCATAGTTTGGACCAAGTTTTAAATGTTCACTTACGTGGCAGTTCACATAATTATTGGAATATCATCACTATGACCATCGGAGCCATCGCGGGTGGATTTTTATTTGTAGCTGCTTGTTTGATGAGGTGCTGATTGTATATGGGGTACGAAAGGCGGGTTCATCTATTTCCTTATGGTAGCATCAATTCATTACATATTTTAAAAATGTCAGTTAGGGGAGGGGGGGGGGGGT